TGTGCATGTGGCAGGTTAATCATTGATTATATATAAAGAGAAATATTTAAAAATATCTTTAAATGTTTTGGTTTGAGCCTCCATAGAAAGGCTTCTGTTGGTGCCCTGCTACTGGGATCAGTCACACCCAAACTGTTCCTAAAGGTTGAATTTGATTTTTTGCATAGGTAAAATATGCACACGGTCTGTTCATGTATCATAACGTTAGAAAAAGTTTTGTCCTGAGAAATCCTGTTCTCATTCCTTTCTTCATCTCCCTCCTCTCTCACCCAGACAGGTAAAACTTTCCGTTACGTGTGTGCGTGTGTGTGTGTGTGTGTGTGTGTGTGTAAGCCTGCAGCTCGTCTCGTGTAAACACAGGCAAATGAAAACGTGTATATTTCATTCCTCCCTTTCTCTCCTGCACCTTGAATTTTTCTCTTACTACCATGCTCTGCGTGCCGTTTTTAAATATCAGGCTCTTGTTTGTTGTTGTGGTTGCCCAGCATCCCGGCGCCGGGGTCCTGCCCACGGTGCTGGTGTGCCGCGTGGCAGCACGCGGAGCAGGCGGGGCAGGTGTCTCAGTCAGCGGGCACTGGCCTGTCCTTGCTCACGTGCGCCTTCACCTGTCACTCACACCCCATGGCCTGGAGGCGTATCCGATTCCTCCCCAACTGTGAAGCCTTTCCTTTTGCCTCCTCCCGCTGGGGGCTACCCACACCCCCTTGCTTCCCTCTGTCCCCGCCTTCATGGTCATTTGTGCTTTGCCTGTCTATGCGAGGAAGGCCCGTGCCAGCCCTTGGGCCACTTTTTTTTTTTCCCCAGGATATTATGGCGGTACAAACATTGTGGTTACATGTTATGACTTTGCTACACCCAAACCATGATTTGAAGCATGCCCTTCCCCCTCTATAACACTGTCCATTAGCTGTGCAAATGAAAACCACAACGAGATACCACCTAACCCCAGTGAGACTGGCCTTTATCAAAAAATCCCAAAGCAACGAATGCTGGCGAGGATGAGAATAGAAACACCTTAGGCGTCTTCTACCAGTCGGTCTGTCTCTGGAGTTTAGTGAGGTATCTAGTCCCTGCACTCTCCATCTCCCCGGAAATGGGATTCTCAAAGCCTTCCTGGGTGCTTGTGCCTCAGGGCTGTTTAAAGCGCCCCATCGATGGTGGCCTGCACGTATTTGCATTTGCAGCCATTTCAACAGCTCCTGACGCCTCAAGATAGAGCCGAGTGGGCGTCTGTCGTCCGGACAGCGATGGGGCCCCCGCCCACAGGAGACATTCTGACTCCCAAGTTCCCGCCTCCTGTGGTCTCCTCCTCCCTCTCCTGAGCCATGTGGTTGTCACCTGTTTTGTTTTAAGCTTAGGCCACAGTATAATAGGAATCTGCTTGCCAGCGTGTTCCAAGTTCTTTGGCTGATTTATGTCCACAGTGAGAGCAGGCCGGCCAGTGGGCCGTCGGGACTGGGAGACCGTGTCCTGTGGCCTTGCAGACTTATTTGTCTTGGGCCGCTTGTTTTTGTACTTGGGTTGTCAGTTTTAGTCACACTTTAAGATGACAAAATAAAGCTCTTGTTTGGCGACACATTTTCCTACATCCATCACTTATATATATCCTGTGTGGTTCTTCTTCTCGCTCCGGGAAGCGATGTGGTTTAGGGCAGGTTGTCCTGTGCAGTCGGAGGGAGGTGGCTGTCAGCCTGGTCGAGTGGGAGGGACAGAGGAGGGTGGTGATCGTCCTCATGGGTCTGGAACTGCTCACAGTGGCCCTGTGACAGGACAGAGGCCTGCAGCCCCGCTGCTGGCACAGGTGTGGGTGGTGGGGGAGGAGCAGGGGCTCCTGCTCTAACTGGAGGGAGTTCAGCTGCCTTTCAGGTGGCAGCAGAGTGCTGGTGCAGACGGCTCAGGGTTTCCTCGTGACAGGCAGGGAAGGGCAGCATGCCTTGGAGCTAGACACGGTGGCCAGGGAAGCCACCTGGACTGACCACGCATGCATCCCCAGAACACGGCATGTGGGGGTGACAGACAGCCCGGGCTCTATGCGGCAGGGAGGAGGGGCCTGGAGGACTTTCAGTGCCCTGAGAGGGGCCAAGCGCCAAGCTGAGCCTGGGCACAGCGTCAGTCACGGGTGTCAGATTCACGGGGGACGATTTTCTGAACATTTAGGCAGCCTGTCTTCTGCATTTACAAACCGTGCTTATTTGACTTTGCCTTCATTAATTTAGCAGATAATGTGCCGAGCCCTGAGGTGTAGCAGGGCCGTGCCGGGCCTGGTCCCCACCCACCAGGCAGAAGCTTCGCAACCCCAGCCCCCTAGACTGCCTTGTGCACGTGGGTCTTAAGTCTTATGACTAAGAGAGTACACTTCTTTTTTAACCTGGGTTTCTCCCAAAAATGTTTTGTTTTAAGGCTTAGTGACTGGTGAGTATGGGACCAGGGGCAGGTCCGTGCACCTGACGGGTGGCTCTGTGTCTCCCTCTGGGGGTCCTGGGGAGGAGGGGTGGGGCCGGCCACAGTGGACCCCCCACCACAACCCTGCCTCTGTCTGCCAAAGGCCTTGTTCAGAAGGTGCTTCTGGAAGGGGCAACCCTGTGCACCCTTTTGGTTTGGGGGTCACGAAGGGCAGAGAGGCCTGCTGCCCATGGAGTTGGAACGCCGTGACAGGTGGCAGCACCCCCAAGTCCCAGGGAGCCCCAGGCAGAGCGGCCGTCATTGGTGGGGGTGGCGCCTGCCTGGCATCGCCTCTCTGCAGGAGACGAGCGCTGCTCCTAGAGCCAGACTACGCACGGGTCTGCGGTTTTGACCGTTGCTCTTTTTTCTAGTAACACGAAGGGAGGGGCTCCTGGTGTTGGCGGATTCATGCCCTTCGGATTCTCCGGCGTGCTGTCAGGGGCTGCGACTTGCTTCTACGCCTTCGTGGGCTTTGACTGCATTGCCACCACAGGTGCGTCCGCCTGCCACCATCCCCTGGGCCTTTTGCTCTTCTGCAGACAGGGGTGACACTGCTCGGGGCTGGGCACTGCCCTTCCCGCTGCTGCACCCCCACATGCGAGTGCCGTGTGTTTCTGCAGCTTCCTGCTAATCCCCGACACCTCCCCCCTTATCGCCTCCCCAAGTGGCAGTGCCGGGCAGGAAACTGCATCAGGAACGTGACTGACGGTCCTGCCGTTAGCATGGGGTGACGGCTGCGTAGCTGCAGCCTGATTTTCTATCTGTGCATCATCCGGGAGAAACGAGGCCATTAAAAATATTGTCATCCTGGTCGACTGAGCCGGCCGGGCTCCACTGAGCCTCCCGGGTTTCCTCTGCCAAGGGAAACGCGTTACGTCCTTGGCCAAACCGTGACGTGCAGGCCGAGAACACCAGGGGGGCGGGGGCGGGGGCTGCCTGGTGTGTGATGCTGAGCGCCAGCCCCGTTCCGGGAAGCCCCGAGGACCCCGTCCTGTAGGGTCGAGCGGTGGGGCGGTGACCCGTGGCGTGCATGAGCTCCCCGGCACGTGAGCCCTTGGGTGTCACGCGGGGAGGCCGCGCCCCAGCCGCCCGCCTTGCTCAGGCTCACCCCGCTGCCCCCAGGCGAGGAGGTCAAGAACCCGCAGAAGGCCATCCCCGTGGGCATCGTCGCCTCCCTCCTCATCTGCTTCATCGCCTACTTCGGGGTGTCAGCCGCCCTCACGCTCATGATGCCGTACTTCTGCCTGGACAAGGACAGCCCCCTGCCCGACGCCTTCAAGCACGTGGGCTGGGAAGGCGCCAAGTACGCGGTGGCCGTGGGCTCCCTCTGCGCGCTTTCTACCAGGTGAGAGGGCCTCCCCCGCGTCGGCAGGGCGGGGGGGAGCGATGCCCCCGGCAGGCCGGGCGAGGCCCCGTGGGACATGGCTCAGCTGCTAACGTCCGTCTTGCCTCGAGACAGTCAGAGCCAGCGCCCCAGCCCCAGTGGCGGCCTTCGCCCTTGTTGTTGCTGTTAATCGTCCCGAGAGTTGTTTGCGTTTCTGACGTTTTCATCCCAGAGGACCAAGGCCGACTTCTCAGCGTCATCCGCTCAGCGAGGCTCTGGCCCTGTGTCCCTGACGTCGGCCGAGGGACCAGCCCCCTCTTGGAGCCCCGTATTTTGGCCCTTAGTTTGACGATCACGCTGGGGCCGCTTAGGAAAGGGGCGTGAGTGCCTTGCGATGAGAAGCCCTGGTGTCTCCCACCAGCCAGCGTCAGTCGGTGGGGACCGTCTGCTGGTGTTGGTTCACCCCAGAGAGGCCCCTGGGAATGCAGTGATGCTCGTGTCTTCTGTTCGGCTCAGCGAGAACAGTCGCAGGAGGAAACGCACACTTTCCCTTCCATACAGACTGCCACTGGGGCTCATCTCAGTTTACGTTAGGTGTTCCCCATTCTCTACCGCAGTCCATGCTGACAGTGTGGGCTTTTTCTGGGGTTGATTTGTTACATGCCGGGTCTTCTAGCCGTGGGCCTCCCAGTGTGGGGGGTTGCAGTTCTCGGTGAGAAATTCGGGCTCCCTGCCCTCCATGGTAAACTGTGCGTGGTCCCACGTGGTGCCTGTATCCCCGATGAACCGCTTTTGCTCACATGTTCTGCCTTTTTCCCCAAATCTAGTCTTTTAGGCTCCATGTTTCCTATGCCTCGAGTTATCTACGCCATGGCCGAAGATGGACTGCTGTTTAAATTTTTGGCCAAAATCAACGATAGGACCAAAACACCGATAATCGCCACGTTAACCTCCGGTGCCATCGCTGGTGAGTGCGGGCGCTCGCTGCACGTGCCAGCGTCTTCACAGTTGAATCATTATTCCCTAGGGAGATATCACGAATCGTGCTGGTCTATGAGAAATTTTAGCTGGTCTTTTTAACTGGTCTTGCAACCTGGTTCGTTGAAAGGTACCTGTCCTTTTGACCAAAGGCAGAGGCCAGTTTGGCAGAGGAAGTGGAATTCTCCAAGAGTTTGAACTTTTCTGTTGCCCACTCCGTGGGCAGAGTGTGGCACACACTGTTCCTGCAGGGCCTTTGGTCCTTCCCCCTCTCGGAGCGATTCCCTGCGCACACCTGGGCAGCCGGCTTCTTGCATAGTGCACAGCAAGGGGGACTTTTTGTTTGTACCCGGAAACTTGGGGTCTGTGCATCTTAGCACACGAATTCTCTGGTAAACAAGGATGCCTCACAATCGGTGTTTTCTAAAGTGTGGCCCCCTATTCCCCCGGGATATGGAGGGTGTTGCTGGCAAAGCCGTCTGCTCGCGTTCATGCACGGTGGCAGACCCAGAGGAGGGTCATCTTCTGCGATCAGGTACATCACCGAGAGGACAATTGACATGGATTTGTTTTATGCGTTTCCTCCTTTCTCGGTTGCATTTTATGGCCCAAGAGGCAGGTGTCATCCCGCTGTGTAGACGGAGCAGAGCAGGCCACGGGGAAGCGAGGGTGCCCACCCATGAGGGTAGGGCTGGCTTTTGGCTCCTGGTTTGTTTTTCATGCCAAAGTGGCTGAGCTCCTCCCAGGGCCTGAGCAGAGTGGTGGGTCTTTTGGGCAAGTTAGGGCACATGCCACTGGTCACACTTCGTACCACAGCAACCAGACGGTGGCCACTGGTGAGACACTCGACCATCTGGAGTGCATGAATCGCTCACCAGGTTTTGTTGGTATTTATGCCCTTAGCAAAGTGCACTCACTTTAATATGATATACTAAAGGAAAGCAGTTTTATAATTATGTAATACATTTTCCGTGTGATTTTAGCTCTTGAAGTGACTGCAGTGGCCAGGTGAGGGGTGCCCTACGTGGCCAGAATATTTAAGGGATTAAGGAACTCGAAATAGTAAATGCTTTTTCAGTGTTCACATGCAATTCGATTGTGTTAAAGGCAGACCCTTACTTTGCTTCCTGTGCTGATAAAGGAGGTCAGACCACTATCTTTCAAGTGACTATGAAGGTCATGCCATTCATCAAATCAAGGATTGACTCTTTTTTTCATTTGGCAGGAGCAGTAAATAAGTATTTGGTTTTCTAAAATCACCTCACATGGAAGAAATTTGTCTCCAGTTTTTCCTTGAGTAGGAACGCAGGCATTTGTGGCATGCACAGTTGGATACTCTTCTAATTATCGGGAGGTCCCCTTTGCTCTTAATCCTGTTATTTATCCTCAATTTAAATATATTTTAGTTGCAGTGATCTAGAAGGGCTGGAGAGATATTTGTGGAAAAATAATGGTTTTGTGTTTATGTTTTAACTTGTGTTGATTGCATGTGATTTGAAAATATCCCAAAGTAGATATAGCCCCGTTGTTTTTTAAAAGGGAAAACTTGACATATACATGCACATAAATAAACACACATACTCTCACAAAACTTAGGAAGGATTTTCAAATAAGCATGAATGTTTTAATTCTTTTTAAAGGCAGGGGCATGGTGAAGGGGCTGATACTGTCTGGAGACAACTCTTCAGATTTCTTCCATGTGAAGTGACTTCACATGTGAGGAGCAGCTCTGCTTTCCCTGCTTACCTGCCTGGGTTAGAGCCCCTGTGAGTCCTCCCAGAGCACAGACTTGCCCTTCTCTGCCACCCAGCTCTGTCGTCTGTGTTATGGGAGGGTCCTCAGAGAGGCCTGGGACTGTGGTCCGCCCTGCTTAATGGTTACTATCTAGGACCCAGTGACTGCACAGTCTGCGTCAGTGCCGGATGGAAAGATTGAAGATGTACGGAAGGATGGGATGGATAATGATGGAAAGATGGATGGATGAATGGGATGGATGGATGGATGGATGGGTGGGTGGGTGGTAGATGATGGATTGGATGGGATTGATGGAAGATGGATGATGACTATATGAATGGATGGAAGATGGATTGATGGAAGATGGATGGATAGCTGGGATGAGTGGATGGTAGATGATGGATTAGATGGATTGATGGAAGATGGATGGATAGATAGTTGGGATGGATAGATGTTAGATGGTGGATTGGATGGAACTGATAGAAGATGAATGATGAATATATGGATGGATGATTGAAGATGGATGATGGATGGATGCACTTGGCTGTCTGTGAGTCAGCACGGTATAGAGGAAGACACACTGGACTCAGTCATAAGAACCTAGTTCACATCCTGGCTCCTCTTAGGAGCTGTGTGACCTTAGATAAGTCTTCTAACCCCTGTGGACTTCAGTTTCTCCATCTGAGGTATAGATAGGGGTTACAAAGTTGCCACAAGGATCAAAAAAGAATGGAAGTACTCTCTAAACAAATGTTAGTTTACTGTCCACTGAGGACTGCGTGTGACTTAATCATGAACTTGTCTTGGCTGGAAGCCAGCGTTTCCACGGCACAGCCAGGGGTGGGAGTAAGAGCTGTGCCCTTCACGTGCCCTGCCTGCACTGCGGGCAGGTGGTGGGCCTGGCCGTGGGCGTGTGCAGAGGGCCACGTGTGCATCCTGACCTCTCTCTCTCTCTTCCCAGCTGTGATGGCCTTCCTCTTTGACCTGAAGGACCTGGTGGACCTCATGTCCATCGGCACCCTCCTGGCCTACTCTTTGGTGGCTGCCTGCGTGTTGGTCTTACGGTATGTATGGCGGCGTGCCTGGTAACCTTAAACAGTTGGCATTGTTTATAAGGTGTGGCTTTTAAGTTGGCAATCCCTCCATGCGGGCTGCCGAGGAGGGGGGGGGTCTGGGTTGAGCGCCTGATTGGGAGGACGTCCTTGAAGGGCTAGGGGTGGCCCCTCGCCTCCCTCTATCATGGGCCCTCATGTTTCTGGCTAGATGCTGGGAAGGTAGAGACAGGTTCTCAGGTCTGGATCCCGGGACCAGAGTTTTTGAAGGCTTAGGGTAACGATGGCACCTTGGTCCAGGTTCTTAGGATGGAGGGGACTGGGGCTGGCCCTGATAGGAACCGGGAGACTCCAGGGCCCGCGAAGCTTGGGTCAGCGTGACGCTCTGCAGCCTCGCCGCACCCTGGCCGGAGGAGCAAGTCCCGTTGCAGGTGTGGAGCGGCCCCCGCCCACCCGGCTCTGGCGGTTTGAGTCTCGTGTGGGCCTGGCACTCCCGTGGACAGTCGCAGTGACGCAGCTCTGGGCCCAGGCGGGTGCCCCAGTGTTCCGTCCTGACCCAGTGCCGCTCCCGAAACACATCCCTGGACTCCAGTGTCCTTTGCTGTGGGGGGAGAGGGCTCTGCTTCAGGGGAGGCCGGGGCAGCGTGCGTCACGAGAACACGTGCTCTCGGGGACGTTCTGTGTTGGTCTCCCCGCAAGAGCCGCCTCCTTTCTTTCCAGGTATTTGCACTTGCAAGGTCATTGATTCCATTTTGAATGTCCTCAGCGGCTAATTTACATAAAACCTGGGTTAAGACTTAATAGTGTCTGTGCAGAATCAGCTAAAACGAGTTTGTGGACCCCTTGTTTCCTCCCCAGGGGCTCAGTGTTAGAATAAACTCTGGGGCCCCTCACTTTCTTAGCGGACCCAGTGGTGTTGCACAAGCGAATCAGTGCAAAAATGGTTAAATGCCTTCACGCTCCCTCTTAGAAGTGATCATACGCAAAATAATTCACGGAGCACTCTGGTTTCAAAGCTGGTGGAAAAGATTTGCGCTCTGCCTGTTTTGGGGGGAAGATAAGGCGCCTGTGGAGACGGGGCTTCACGTGCAGGTAGCTCTGTCTTGGCCGTTGCACCTCGGGCTCGGTCCTTCACCCGGCTGTGTAGAGTTATTTACTCTGAGGCACTTGGAGTTTTAAAATAAATTGATCCAATTAAGTCACAAACAGCCTTTCTCAGATCCATCAGCCTGCGGGCAGGTTTCCCTGTCTGTCCGTGCCACGCAGGATCGAGTGTTACTGCCTTCTGTTTCTGGCCTTCCTTTTAGCTCACTGCAGCCTGCGTTTTTCGGGAAAAGGCCTCATATCTTTCTCAGAGTGGGAGAAGCCCTCCCGGGGCATGGCCCTGGGCTGCCCCACTGTGGAGGTCATGTTCCCAAACCAGAGTCACCAGGAGACCCGGGTCTCTGCTCCCGTCTCTGCACTGGGAGAGGGGGCGCCACTCTGGCCACCTGCTTCCCCTTCTGTGCCCCGTGTTCTGGCAGCTTACCCATAAGGGCGTATTAAGAACTTGAGCTGATGCCCGCCCTGCTTAAAGGAGAGTACGGTGGTCACGCGGCACGTTTCTCCGCAGGTATCAGCCAGAGCAGCCTAACCTGGTGTACCAGATGGCCAGAACGTCCGACGAGCTGGATCAGGTAGAGCAGAGCGAACTGGGCAGCACCAACGACTCCCAGACGGGCTTCCTGCCGGAAGCGGAGATGTTTTCTTTGAAAGCCATACTCTCACCCAAAAACATGGAGCCTTCCAAACTCTCTGGGCTGATAGTGAACATTTCAACCAGCCTCATAGGTAAGAGCTTGCCCTTCCCCGTGCGGAGTCTGGGGTCCTGCCTGTTGGCATGGCGAGGGCCGAGGCATGCAGGCGTGGGGACGGGAAGGCGCTGGACTCGTGCATCTATCTTGCCTCCGGACTGCAGCGTAGTTGTTCTCTTGCAACTGCGGCTGATTCCTTTGGAAGTGGAGCCTCCCCTGTCACAGGATCTGGGGGTGAGGGGACCAGGGACACTGTGGGAACTTGAGAGACGGTTGGGTTGCACCCCTCTCTCCTGTCCCTTTTAGCCACTCTTATCATCATCTTCTGCGTCGTGGCCGTGCTCGGGAAGGAGGCTCTGACTCAAGGGAAGCTGTGGGCAATCTTGGTGCTCACGGGATCTGTCCTCCTCTGCACCTTGGTCACCGGCATCATCTGGAGGCAGCCTGAGAGCAAGACCAAGCTCTCGTTCAAGGTGAGCGTTCAAGCACGGGGCAGGCCACAGCCGGCTGGCCCTGTGTGGGCCCGGCCCCGCCTGGTGCCAGCCAGCCTCGGGGGCCATGCGGACAGGAGCCCCAAGGCACAGACAGTGCAGCCTAGAGAGGTCCAGCCCCAGGTGGCAGGTGCACCTGTCCACAGTGGCTTCTCCTAAATGTCTGTCCAGGCAGGTCGCATGTCATTCCCAAGCCTCAGAGGTGACCGAGCCGTCTGCATTTTCAATTATACAAATAATAGAATAGTCAGACCTTAGAGAAGAATTGGAAGTCCTCCTTCTAGTCCCATCTAGAGAACTACATGAGAGGAGAATTACGATGGCGCTCACCTTGGCATTTCATGGCTTAGAACCAAATTCCCACCTGTTGGGATCTGCCCATGTGTGTTGGGGTGCAGGGCGGAGGTTGGCGCTCACTTCCTCTTCCCCACCCTTCCTGACAGCCCCCATGGCTCTCAGGTGCACGGTCCTTTGCTAGGGAGTTTTGCTGAGGGATTCAAACAGGCGCCATCACCGAGCCTGCCACACCAGCAGGTCTGACGCTGCCTCCTATCTCTGCAGGTGCCCTTCCTGCCCGTGCTACCCATCCTCAGCATCTTCGTGAACGTCTATCTCATGATGCAGCTGGACCGGGGCACCTGGGTGCGGTTTGCCGTATGGATGCTCGTGGGTACGTCACGCCGCAACCAGCATGTCCAGGGTCCTGGCTTCTCTCGGACTCCGCAGGTCCCAGCTTGGCTGGACGATTAGTGTCGTAGCGTCTGCCTCGGGTCAGATTTTGTGACACGGTGAAGCACGTAGTCAGCAGTTCTCTCTCAAACACAATACTGAGTTCCTGGCAGGTCCATCCCTTTTAGATAGTTTCCAATTTTATTGCTCTTCCCAAGCTGGTTCTCCCATCAGGGGTAACTGCCTACATTCTAAGGGCCAGTTACATAGAGGGCCAGTTACATAGAGAACACAGGGGTAGCAGGCAGGGGCTGTCCAGACAGCCTGGGGCCTCTAGCACCTGCTGGAAGTCCCACCCCAGGTAGGGCCAGCGTGACTTCCCAGGACTCTCAGGGCCTCAGAGGTCATCCGGGAATTCGGCTGAAGGGCCCAGTGCCCTACTGTGGGCCCCGGCCCAGCCGCCCTGTCTGCTAAGGAAATGCCTCGGCGTGAGGCTGTCCAGAGGGACTCGAGGCTTTGCCAGATGTGGAAGCAGACAGTGACCTTTGCAGGCTCTATTTGAAGAGTGGTTTCTCCAGATGTGGAAAGTCAGCCGGGCAGGCCGCTGGCTGCGGGCTAACGCCCTTGCAAGAGGCTTTTCTGTGGGGCCATAAGGCCTGGGGCGGCCTCTGTCTGTCCCCCGGGCCTGGCCCACTGTGCGGCAGCCTGGCCCACGCCGCTCACACCTGTCTCCCCACTGTCACCTGCAGGCTTTGGCATCTACTTTGGCTACGGTCTGTGGCACAGCGAGGAGGCGTCCCTGGCAGCCGACCAAGCAAGGACTCCTGACGGCAATTTGGACCAGTGCAAGTGACGCGCAGCCCTGCCCCCTGTAGGGGGCAGCAGCCCCGAGGGACACCCCAGGAGACAGGGAGGCCCCCCGCCCTCCCCGCCAGTGTAACAAGAACCACCCACACCCACGACGCCCCCAACGCAGCCGCAGGTGCGATTACTTGAAGCGCAGCCACAGCCCGCAGCTCAGTGTCCTGCCCAGACCTGGCTCTGCGGCCCCGGTCACCTCCAGACAGCCCTCTGGCCGGGGCCACCTGGCTGTGGCTGGCCACCGTGTCTCCTCCCTTCTCTTTGAACGAGCTCTTCTCCTCGTCAGCTCAGCAACCTGCTGCCTCGCTCGGCAGGACAGACAGGTCATCTCCTTATCTCGGGTGCCAGGCACCCCCGCCCTGAGGACTGCTTTGGATGGAAAATGTGCATACTCCAAACTCCCAGTAGCCAGCTCCCCTTCAGTCCCACGGTAGCCAGAGACGAGAGACAGTACCACAAAACGGTGTCCCCAGCAGCCCCACCCCCAGAGCCGAAGGACAGCTGTGTACTTAAAAAGGAACAACAGGACCATTTCCTTCTCCCGCTCCTGCCTGAGTTGCTTCCAGGTGGGGCTGTTAGGGTGGGACCCTCCCCACCGGCCCTGCTGGGCATGGTTTCGCCCTGACACTGAGTGGCTCCCGGTGGGGATGAAGGCCTCAGGGCAGGGGCGGGCAGGCTTCACTCACGGAGGTGGGTAAACCCGGGGTCCTGCCGCCCCCGCCCGCCAGGCCTGGGCCAGGCCTAGTTGCTTCCCCTGCTGCCTGCGCCCCCATAACTGGAACCTGAGACTGTCTGTGTAGGGCCGGCCTCAGATTGGCGGGGTTTAGAGCTGTTTTCTGTGGGTCTTTGCCATTGGCTGAATCTTGCCCTCCCGCGCTTGCTCTGGGCTCCTGTGAGGGTCTCAAGGCAGGGGACAGCTCGGTCCAGGGTCCTGGCACGTCTATGTCACGATGCTGCTGGCCTCTGTCTTACATGCGATGAAGCCGAAGCCAGTCCATAGTTGATGAGATAGTGAGCCACTCCGCCAAACTGAGCTGGGGCTTGACATGAACTTGGAAAACGGCCAGATACTTAGCCCACGCTATCGGCCCATCGCTTGGGATGTGCGGTCCGTCCCAAGTTTTGGTCCCAGAGCTGTCCCTCTTTTGTCTCCGTCATCCGAACACTGCGGCGTTGCATCCGCAGAGGGACTCTGGCCCTGCCCTGGGCCTCCTGCCTCCCTGAGTCGGAGCGCTCGGTGCAGGGGCGACTCCAGCCTGCAGCTCCTTGCGCAGAGAGCCCTGGGCCTCCCCTCTAGCCCGGGCGGGGCAGGGCCGGGCAAACACCACCCCACACACTCCTCCCCGGCTGCGGGCGCAGGCAGCAAGAGCGCTGATGGGCCTTTCTTCCCTCCTAGCGCAACTCAGCAGCTCGGGAGACACGAGGCCCCGGCTGGGAAGGGAGGGGAGGGGAGGTCGGCAGCGTGGGCGCCACGGGAAACGTAAATGCTGCTTCCAGACTTAGTTGCCCATTTGTTTCCAGTCCGGCCTTTGACACAGATCTGGTAGAAAGAAGCCTGATAAATTAACAGCACTTGACTTTCCCCCTTCTGCCCCGGAAGGTCCTCGGAGAGAAATGCAAGCGTTGGTGTCACAGCCGGCGGAGGCCAGGTGGGTGGCCGGGGGTTCGGCCTTCAGGCCAGGCCCTGTCACTTTGCAGAATCTTCCTCCTAAGTCTCATCTGCGAGCCTTTCGAGAGGAGTATCATAAGGGCCCAAAGGGTAGATTTCCAAAGAAAGGTATTTACATTTGTGTAGATTGGTGCTTTAAACTATTTTGATGAATATTAACTTATTTTGTCAGGGGTTTAGGTTATCTGTTGTGTTCTTAGGTCCTAGTAGCTATTTGTTTGCTTGATTTTTTTTTTCCCCTTTCTTTTTTAAATTTTTTCCTGTTATTTTCTACATAGGCAAAGACAACTTGAGAAAAAGAGGGAGTCCAAGAGAGGTGGTGGTGGGGAGAGAAAAAAAAATTTTTTTTTTAACTTCCTAATTTCTCACTCTGGCTGAAATTGTCACGCAAGACGGCGACCAATAGACTGTGTGTTCTGCTGACATTTCAGCTGCCTGCACAGCGTCCTGCAGACTGCGAAGGTGTTTCCCCGCCAGGGAGCCGGTCACGGGAACGGGCCTGTGCCCCTTCCTCCCTCAGGGCCTGAGCACGACACAGGAGCCAGCGCAGGCTCAGTTGGGGTGGGACGCTCCCATGGCCACCACCCCCCCCCTTGTTAGAGGAAGGGCTTCCTGGTGAGGGAAGGACACACACGGATGGCGACCTGCATAAACAGTGCATTGGTCACAGTGCTTTTATCAGGAGTAGTTCTGTGCGGTTGCCAGAGGTTTTCCCTTGTGCGTGCCAGAGCAGTGACATAAGTAATGGTGTTTGAGATCAGCCTCACCGTTTTAATAGACTTCTCCTTATCTCATCCCTCCTTCCTTTCCCTGAAATAAACACACACACACACACACACACACATACACACACACACATACGGGCAGGGAAAAAAGAAAATGACTGATAGTTTTACATCTCTCAGTTCGCCTGCCCAGACAGGAACATCCCTCTCAGTTTCGTAGCTGGCCGGGGTGTTCCTGCGTAGTCAGAACTCCACGCCACCGGAGACTCACGGCCACAGGAACGTGGTGTCTGCTTTTATCTGTGCACCAGCCCTGGGCACCCGCGTCAGAAATTCCATTTGTGACAAGTGAGCGTCTGTGCCTGTCTCCCGTCCCCCACGACCACCCTGCAGCAGCTCTGCTGGAGAGGGGGGGCTCCAGGGGAGCAGCGGCCCGCTCGGAGGTGGCATGTGAGCCGTGAGCCGGCTTACCGGACGGCAGGGAGGGGGACCATGCGGGGAGGCCGGGCCTCCGCACACCCCAGCGCCACTCGTCACCCCTGCTCACTCCCCCTCAGCCGGCCTTGGTGTTGGGTTTGTTTTTCCAGACCAAGAGGGAAGAGCGATAGACTCATTTTTCCTAGGCCGGTTCAGAAAGATTGCTTGATTTATGCTATTGTCAGAGTTGCTCGGATCCTCCCCCACTTTTAGTCTTGTTTTTGCAGCAGTGAGAGCTCTCTTTCCACCAAGACTCTTATCTGTCTCAGGCGGGCGGCCCGTGCGCCTCTGCGGTGTCTGGGCACCGTGGGGCGCGCTGGCCTGTGGCCCCTTCCCTGCCCCCGCGGCCAAGGCCCTGACACCCTCCCCCCTGCATCTTCAGCACAGCCCCAGTGCTCACCTGGAGGAAGGCCGGGCCCGCCCACCCTTGTCCCTGGCGTTGTCTGCGCTTATTGAGGGAGACGGGGAGAAACGTGGGTGCGCCAGCTCTTGTCCCCACTGCCCGCCGAGCAGGTGTCCTGAACGCGCTGGCGTTTGCGGTCCCGTGTGTGTGTGTGTGTGTGTGTGTGGCCTCCAGCCCGACACTGGGTAGAGACACCTGGAGCCAGAGCTGGGAGGCGCCCCAGGCCCCCGCGAGGCTCACGGGTGAGGTCATGGGCACTCCTGACACGCATGGCCTCACGGCTAAAGAAAGCCTGCCTGGCCTGGCCCTATGCCAGGGCCCATCTTTCCTGATCTGAACGTCCCATTTTTACGCAGACTCCTTTCTTTTCAACATGAGCTGACGGCTCTGTTGGCACCCAAGAACGTACACCATGAAGCCAGAGTGCAGGGCCTTCGAGCCAGGGCCCAGCACCACTGTGTTCTGGGGGGGACAAGAGACATGTTTGTGTCCCACGTCTCCTGACGGATCTCCCAGGCTGGGAAAATTGCTGGGCGGAGGGGGCCTGAGGGTGTTTGCATGGGGACCTGTCCCAGAGTCCCGCTTCAGATGGGACTGAATACATGTTACATATAACTGTTATACATATTTTAAAATACAGGGTCCCCAAAGTCACCCTACATAGGGAAAAATGGGAAATTATAGCTAAAGGTACCTTTATTTACAAAATATTCATTACAAAATATTTCCTTTGTATGGAGACTGCAAGTTTTCCTTTGAATGAAAACAAAAAATTTTATAAAATTCATTACGAAATTTTTCTTTTGTATGTATGGAGACTACATAGTTTTTCCTTTGTGTATGGAGACAAAATAGCTTGTAAAACGTTGTAATGAATATGTTGTGAATAAAGGTACATTGGGCTACGATTTCCCCCTTTCCCTAAGTGTAGCGACTTTGGGGACGCCTGTGTGTCTGTTTGCCATAGTCCCGAGAGGATTATATGTGAGGCTCCTAAGAGAGCGAGATGTGCATTTTGTCAGGCTCTTGGGGACTTTTTTGGATAATGAAATGCTCTACTGATCCAGTGGTGCAAGAAGCTACACTCCATACGGCATCCTAGTTATGATGTCTAGTGGGTCTTCAAGGCAGAAGGTTTCAGCCGCCTTCACTCTAGCCCAGAGTCTCTGCCCTTCCCCCGCTGTGCTCTCACCACAGAGGGCCTGGATGCGCCCAGAGTCTCGGGCACAGATCCCCAGGAGCCCTCCCGGATCATCCCGTAAACATGTTGAGCTGCATGCTGGAATACCCACATGAGATGAAATCCCTTGGCCAAGCTTAAAGAGAAGTCCACGCATATTTTCTCAGGGTATTAGCGTGTCCAGCGGGGCTGGGAAGAGGCATTCAGACTTTGTTAACTTATTAACAAGGTGTATGATTTCACATGTCTCGATGACAAACGTTTAAGTTTGGGACTTACTTTCCCATTTGAGGAGTTGTAATATATATTTAAGATAAGTTTCCTGCTTAAGTTGTGCCTTTCGGCTTCAAAGGGTTTCAAGGAGCACAAAGGATAATGATTCTAGTGAGGGTTGGTTTATTATCAAACCTGGACAGCTCTGGTTTCTCCAGTCGATCTCCTACTGAACATGGAGCCATTATTAAAAAGTTGTGTGTTTTTTATTATGTAAATTGTATAATATTTTTTGCTTGTTTGATGTTCTATTTTTCTAACAGTTTTCTTCTAGTTTCTTATAATTGTGAATACTAGATTTAGCTTCCCACGCTAACTCCAAATCAGGCTGGTCTCCGCTGGGTCTCCTGTTTTTATTTTACCGTAAGGACACGTGTAGGTGTCGTCTGTCGCCTTTCAAAAAATGTGAAACCGCTCTGTATCCCCTTTTGCCGACAACGCTGTACATGGACAACCTCCTCCCACACTTCGTGTCGTGGAAACTATTTTGTGGTACACCAGCTCATGCTTCCGCACATTCTAATAAACGCTGTGTCTGGCTTCCGTGTACGGAGTGTGGTCTCAGGAATCCTCTCGGCTGGGTCCCCCGGGGTCCCAGTGCCCCACGGAGGGTTCCAGATCCTGCCCTGCACTTTTACCGTCTTCCTGCTTCCCCACGGCCCGTGCTTGAGTCGTGTTTACTTGGTTCCTGCAGCCGCTTAGGGGGAATCCTCATAACAGCAGTTTGAGCCTCAACCAGGGAATCCCTGGGGCCCGCATTTTGGATCCTGCGATGCCATCTCCTCGGCACCTCACACTGTCTCTCCAGACTTGCCTCTGGGGCCCCAGAGAGTCCCTGCCGGTGTTCAGGCACGCGAGTCCGGGGCAGCAGGAGCCCCTCAGTGCACCGACACCTCAGCCCGGCGCTTGCCTCCACACACCGTCTCCTCGGGACGGGGTGCATGCGGGGCCCGGGCAGGGTTGTAGCTCTTAATCATCGCTGGCATCTCGCCCCCGGCTCCCGTGAGAAAGGAGGTATATTTTAGCACAGGAAGCAAATCAGTCAGGTGGACGTTAACTCCCAGACACTAAGTGGCGGCGATGCACAGCGACCGTGCTGGAAGGTCTGTTGCCTGGACGATGCCGTTTAACCTTTGAGTTTTGTCGGCTAATGGACAGCGCTGGAGGCGGACATCTCTGCACGGGGAGCTGCACAGAGAGACGGGCAGGCGAGCTCCGCTCTTCCTGGCACCCAGCATATTAATGGTCAGGAATGTCAGACAAGGATCTACACCTGAGACCACCATGCTCATTGTGTTCCCTGAGCACATAGGAAAACCAGACCACTGACTGGGCTTGGGCAGTGTGAAAGCAAGGCTGAGCAGCATGTCTGGGGGACATGGCAGGGTAGCACTTGGGACATAGGGTAGCAGCAGACCCCCCTTCCCCACGCTCAGTGCAACACAAGTTATGCAGACACAAGTTCCAGGGAGGTGGAAACCAGAACCCAGCTATCGGTTTACAAAACGGGTTGGCTTCGAAAAGCTTCTGAGAGTGCCCAGGGGGTCCAGAATTGGGAAATAAGCACAGGGCATGCCTTGTTCCTGGGTTTCTGCATGTGTCCAGTAAGAAGGGCACCTCTGGATGCTTTGGAGGACGTTGGCCGGAGCGCAAGGTGGACCCCAGTATTCGCAGCGCCACGCTGCCACCTAGTGGCTGCCGCACTATGCGGGCAGCCTGAAAAGGCCCTGCAAAGTTTGCAGCAATTGTTTAGAAATCCCTGACTAGGGTGTCCTCAAAGTCCCTCTGAGCGAGTCCAATCTGGAGGTCCCGAGGGGACATCGCCCAGAGCAAGGTTTTCCTGGCACAGTTTGGTTAGGAAACACAGTACATCAAAAGCTGCCCCCCAAAGGCATTCCTAGTAATGAGGAAGCCTATGGAACTACGTCCTGGGGTATGACCCAGCCTTTCAGATCCATCCTTCCAGCCCTGCTCCGCTACCGCACAGACCCGGGCAGGGTTTGGGGCACTGAGGAAGCGTAGCACCAACTCTAGATAATCCCACCCGCCCCTGTTCAAGGGGAAAACAGTTTAGTTTTACCAAATTAAGCCTGTCCACCAAGCTAGAAATAGAGCCATTAAACAAAAATGCAATGTGAGAAGGAGGCTTTGGGAATAAAACGGGCAATACCTTTGCTAATGAAAGGAAGAGCTTAAGCAAGCCCTTTGGCATCTTGGTGAAGCTGAACACGTAACCCAGCGGGTCTGGAGCTGCGTGGGGAGGGAGGAGCCGTGCTAGGTGGGACTGTCCCACAGTTGCTTCTAAATTTGACCCCTGAAAACACTCCACTTGCTGAATGCCCACTTGCCCGGGAATGTTCTGCTCCACTGGTGCAGGGTGTTCATTCAGGTGCGATCCAGTGAGAAGTCGCTACACGGAGCCGGCAGCGGGGGCTTCTGGGTGGCCTGTGGCGTGGGTGCCCGAGAGGGAGGAGGCCCAGGCACTCCCCGCACATGCCTGAGGGCCGCCCGAGCTTCAAGCTGCAGGGCGTCCTGACCCTGTCTGGTGCCAGCTCCTGCCTGCGTCTTCATGCTGAGGCAGGTGCAACCAGAGCTTGGCAATCAGAAACTCCAGATGTCCTTTGTTCTGTTTTTTACGAGGTTTGGGGCAAGAGGTTTTGAGACAAACTGACTTTAAAAAAAAAAAGTTCACAAATCTAAATGAATTGACTCCCACTGCCTTTTAACGCCAGAGAGGCTTTAAAAGCATTTGACACAGACCCTCACCTCCTGGTTACCACGGATGAGATGACAGGGTGCAATCCCAGAGTTGTCACTCGATCCGTAGACGCTGGTGCGGCAACAGCTCTGAGAACGTCCTTCCACGCAGGCAGGTGGGAAGCCGTCCGGCTGCTCGCCCCGCCTGTGCTCACCTCCGTGGCTCCCTTCCCAGGGAGATGACCCACGTCTCCCATGCAGGGAGAGCCGCGCTCCCAAAGCTACTTGGCACAAAGGAGGTGACGGAGTGAGTTGACTTCGAAAGTCCCCTCTGCCTACTGCAGATTAGCTGTGGAGGGGGAGACAGTCCTCCGCAGACAGGAGAAAGTTGGCTCCAATTTCCATCCTGCACGAGCCTGTGGGTGAGTCACCGCCGGCTCCTTTGTTAAGTGCTGGCACCCGCCTGGCTCGCCTCACAGGGTGGGAGGACGATGGGAGGTGGCTTTTATCAAAGTGGAGGGCACTCAAGACACCCCAGAAGAAACCAACGCATAGGGACATGTTGACTAGTAGGTCGTTAATACACAGGTGGTGGCCATCAACACTCTGGAAATCGGGGGTGGCCCAGGGGAATCCTGGGGTGTCCCTTGTGAGGTTTGAAGTGACTCGTGTGCCATCTATAAAGAGTCTGCTGTTCTGTAATTGTTCATAAGGGACTTGCTGACATCGCCCTAAAATAGCTGCCACTCCCACACGTCCAGCAAACCAGGGGTCCTTTGTGTGGCCCCCAAGCAGTGCCAGGCACCTGTGGGACATTCCAGGGTCAGGCCGGCCAAACTGGCTGCAGCCCACACTGAAGGCCAGCGGGATGGGGGAGCAAGTGCTTGCAGGTTAAAAGGGGGGAACGATCTTTTGTGCCCTCTTCCCAGCCGCCTCCCCAACCCTGGCCCTGCAGAGCAGAGCACCAAGCTCCCAAATCCAGGGGCCGGATGCCAAAGACCCCAGGCTGGAAGGGTGGGTGCAGGGGCCTCAGCCCTGCTGAGCTGGGGGAGAGGAGGTCTCTAGGCTTCTCTCAGTGCCTCTCAGCTGGCTCTGGCACACACAGAAAAGGACCCGGCCTCCCTTGGGATCCCCAGCCTGAGGGGGGCAGGTCTGCAGTTACATCAAGTGGATATCGCAGAAAGTCCCTCAAGTTTATTTTAATAGGCTTTAGAGTTAAACACAAATATGCAACACAGAAACTGTCGGGGCAGGAACAGGAATGTCGTGACCCCATTCAACTAATCATAGAGCGGTCAGCACCCCCAACCCGTCCTGACATCCGGCCGGGACCTCGCCCCAGCATGGGGCAGGGGCCAGGCCACCGATGCATCTCCCAAATGCCACGAAGACACCAGTGACGTCTGGTGGGTCTGCCCGAGAGAGGTGGGGAGCCTGCAGCACCTGCACTCAGAGACATCGCTCCAGCCCGGCAGGCGGCCGGGGCAGACGCCCTGTGCAGGGAGGCCGCATCCTGATGGTGGGGGGGCAGGATCGAGGAGGAGGCACAGTGGCTGTCCCGTGTGTCTCGGGGGCGGTGCCAGCTCAGAGGACGTGGATCCACACGTTGATAGGTGTCCGTGATGAAGGGAAGAAGCCAGGGCCCTGTGGACATTAGCCCACACCCAGGCTAAGGGCTGGAGAGGGCAGTCCACCTAGGAGGGAGTACTTAGTTCTAACATCGCTACGACTTTGACCACAACAGCCTACCACACTGTACCACATCCTAACGTCACACCGAAGCCGGTATTGCTGTGTAACTACATTCAGCAGGTGCGGTTAGGTAAGCGGGTCCTCCTTCGGAGAGCTAAGCTGCAACCGAACTTGCTATGTTTGTGCAGGGTGTGCCTGCTAAAAGGATAAATAACTGTGCATTCAGTCCGTGCGGCCGGACTCTAACGGAGCGCCCAACTCAGTGGCACGGCATCACGCAGAGCCTCTAAAGGAAAGAGAAATGTTGCTTCACTGAGTGCCTGCTGTGTATGTCCCCAGAATGAGCAGGACCCGGGGACCCCAACTTTGACTCATGCAAGGGACATAGATCACACCTGCCTTCACGTTGGCCACACATGTGTCCAGTGGGCTGGGCCCCGGGGGAGCTGACCCCTGTCATGGGCTGTTGCTTCCTTGCTCCATGGCTCTGGCCCCTGCAGGACCCTGCATGGGACTTGTTGCTTTGGACATGCTCAAAGACATGCCTGTGCTCAGGACAAATTTTAGGGGCTTTAGGGAGAAGAGTGCAGGGTCTTTGTCACACACAGGAAACAAAGGCATCATCATCATCACCATATCGACTGTTAAAACTACTTCTTCCTTTTGGGTATCATGCTCCTAATCTTCCACAGCACTACATGAATACCTTTCATATTCTAATTCTACCATTTCAGAGACAGATGCCAGTCCAGCAGCCGTGACCCCTGGCTGGCTGTTTCGTTGGGCTCCTCTGTTTGGGAGAACATCCTGGGCCTCCGGCACGACCACCGGCAGCCTCAGTGTCACTTGATCATCCAGCAGAAAGTACAAATGGGTTTCTGGGAGTTCGTGTGATGATCTAGCACAGCTTAGAACTGGTCCCTCGGGACAGAAAGGTTGGTTTTCTGGAAGCCCCTGCTAGAACCCCTGAGCCATCTCAATGTGGAGTGAAGGGGTTGATGATAGAACCAAATCGAAGTGGGGGTTGCCTATGAAATGGGGGCCACATTTCAATGAGTTGACCATTTACAGCACAGGGAAGGCTGGGGCACACTTTCCCGCTCTGTGCCTGATCAAAGTATGGACCTATCAGCAGTTTCCTTTACGAGGATGGAGCATGAATGGTCTCGGTCATCTCCAAGGTCATCCTCACTCTCACTGACAGGTCATGCTCTTCTATGGTTTCCCCTCGGGTGCAACAATAGCTTAATGACTGATTCCGAGATGCCATTTAGGAAAAAAGCAAAACTTGTGTTTACAAGACTATTATAGATGAGTCACTGTCATGAGTTAACATCTGCAAAACTGCTAAGCCCCGTAGGGTTTCCCACTGCTTCTCCACTCACGACAGGAGCATTAATAATTAAAACTTGCGAATGGAATAACAGTGACCTCACATCATGGTGACTAAGAAGCTGATTGTTCCAAAGGCAGCTACCGTTCACAGATCGCTGGTGTTCGTGGTAGAGAGAGTACCACTTGGTGGTGGGTTGAAAGGCGCTTCTTCTCTGTATCTTTTTTTTTTTTTTCCTTTTTCTATTTTGGGTAGAAATATTCCTGGGAAGCTAGATAGAAATGCATTTTCATTTCCCAATAATTCTTAGGCACAAGCTAGAAAACTGCTGACCTCCACTAAAATATGTCAGCACTTCATGTTATAAAAAATGCAATTCAGAACCGCCGCATGTGCATATACGTGTATCTAAATATACACACATATCGGTGCAGCACACAATGATTATTCAATGATTATTGAAAACTGAGCTATCTGCAACTAACCTGAAATTCTGCAGTGAAAGTTCATTGCTCAAGAACAATTGGAAGTGTCTTTCTTTTGGCTCTAACTATGGTAAAACGTTCGCACATCAGACTCTACCATTTACACTTTCCTAAGTGCCGATACCGGGACAGTCTCACGCGGGGATCGGAGGAGGGCGCGGCCCGGGGTGCGTGGTGCAGCTACCGCGCATGCGCACAGGGCCAGCTCCGGCGGCACCTGCTCGGTGCTCCCTTGGGGCGGACGCGCTGGACACGCTGGAGGCCGGAGCTCCTGAGGGCGGCGTGGCGGCGTCATCTGGGCGTCGTGCTGACTCTGGCCGGGGACGAGGGCCCCGAGGAGGAGCCACGGTAAACGGGGGACGTGGGGGAGAGTTTAATGGGGCTGGTCGGGTCCCCAGTCTGGAGCTTCCAAAGCAGCTCTTCGTTGGTTCGGCTCAATCTCTTCTTCTCCTGGGTTTCTTTTTCCACATATTCCTGGAGATTAGCGTTTTCCTCCGACAGTTGTCTGCGTGGGGGAGAACGACAAACGGTCAAGTGGCAATCACGCTAGCAGACACTTAACTGGAGGCCACCCGGTGGGTGCAGGGCAGAGGGAGAAAGGGACACGTCCCACCCAGTGGCCAAGGACCTCGGTGGAAACATGATTTCTGCGCGTCCTGCGGACACATCCGTCCCCAGAGCCTCTCCGGACAACACTTAATCGGCTCACGGCCCTCTGCGGTGTCAGGGGAGGCGCTGGTTGTCCATCAGACGAGCACGGGAGGGAAGCGGACAGCTCCTGCAGGTGTGCTGCGGGGGCTCAGAGAGGAGACGCCCCCACACCTGTCAGAGCCTGCCAGGAATGCCGGCCCCCCAGCACCCAGCATGGTACCTGCACATAACAGAGGCTCAGTTAATGTTTGCTGATAAAGGATGCTGGATGGAAAATGAGTCGATGAATTTTGCGCCTTCTTTTAAGGAAGCTTGGGTTGTTTGCTTTGTTGCATTTTAAAAAGTCACAGCACGTTTGAGGAACTGACAGGAATAAGTAACTACACGTGCATTTTACAGCTGGACAGATGGAGGCCCAGCAAATCACCCCTCTGGATAAAGCCTGTTCTTGCTCTGCCGCCGACGGCACCTTTGCAGATTCCCAGGGAGGTCCGTGCTGCTCAGGCTTTCTCCCACACTTTCAGCAGGGAGGCTGGAAGACAGCCCTGCCCACCTGAGGCCTGGGGCAAGAGGAAGCCGAAGGGGCAAGGGACGGAACCTGCTGGCCCAGTGCGCTTTCCTGTGTGCCTCTGGGGTGGAAACCGTAGGCCTGCACCTTGGGCTCACTTGTGGAGACCATGGCTCTGTGTGCATGTATGCGTGTGTGCAAGAATGTGTGTGAGTGTATGTATTTGTGTGTGAGGGCAAGCATGCAAGTGTGAGTGTGAGTATGCAACTATGAGGGCATGTGAGAGTGGGTGTGATTATATGTGCATGTGTGAGCGTGTATGAGAATCAATGTGAGTGTGAGCATGTATGAGCATGCACAAGTGGGACTATGCTAGTATGAGTGTACGTGTGTGCATGTGCGTGTGTGCATGTGCATGAGTATGCACGTGCACATGAGTGCGTGTGCACAGGTGACACAACCTGGGTGCACCGAGGAGCCCAGTTCAGTCTTGTGGGCCAGGGTTCAGGCCTGGGTGTCAGCGGGGTGGCGAAGCCCTCACGGAAGAGATGAGGTACAGCTGGCTGGTGGAGCCAACTCCCCCCGCCCCCATGTTACCCACTCTGAGATGCAGAAGGGAGGGGCCTCCACACCCTGCCTTGGACGTTGGGTCACCTCAGAGCTGGGTCTTGCAGGGACAGGCAGGACCGAGAGGGAAACAGTGCATTTCTGGAAGCCTCAGTGGTCACTCAGTGGTGGCTCTTTTGCCTGGGAACACCTAGCTGGCCTTCCTCCCCTAATCTCGTCCAGAAATAAATCCCTCATATCCCCATGCCATGGAGCACCCTGCTTCATGCTTCTGCTGATTTCAGTCCTTTCTCCTGAGGTGGGGGGCTAGTGACACAGCCAGGGCACAGGCCAGGTGTGGCAGGGGAAACGCCAAGAGACCGTGTGGGGCAGACTCACAGCTCAGAGTGAGGCAAGGTGGATGTTGGGACAAAAAGAAGCTCAAGAGCAAAGTCACTCTTGTGTGGGCGACACGTGCTTTGTGCGCCAGACCCCCATCCCACCCACCTGGTGACAACTGTGTTTTGGTCGATCCTTGCTTTGAGGTCTTCATTCTGCTGTTGGAGAACTTGGATCTTTTCTTCCAAGACAATGTTCTTTTCCACCTGTAAAGGATACAGCATTTATGAGGTTCTCAGCAAGGCCACGAGATAGGTAGTAAACCAGTGCCCTCAGCTCTGGGCTTTGAGGATTTTCAATAACATCGGTTTGCAAACTGTAGTCTGCAAAGCATTAGTGGGTTGTAAAATCAGGTTAGAGGGACGTGACCAGCATTTCTTTTTTAAACAAAATAAAACAAAACAAAAAAATGCCAGAGTGCACTGCATATAGAAGTGGGTACTGTTATATATGTTTTAGACATATATTTATATATATATATATATACACACATATATATATATACACATATATATATACACACACACATATATATTTGTATGTGTGTTGGGTTCCTGGGTAAGATGTATTTCTCACAGTGAGTGTCCCCAGGCCCTTGCCATTGTCAGAGATAAGCCACAAACACCACCAGGACCTAATTTGACAAGTGGCCCCATGGTTTTTCCCGAAGGGTCAACTACAGTGCAGCAGTGTCCCTGGCCAGCCATGCACACACTATGTGACATTCTGAATTAATGGAGGGATAGAAATATAAATAATGTGAACACACTTTTTCCATTTGAGGCTATGGGCAGCCAGGAACACAAAGCCCAAGACCATCTTGGCTCATTACCAGAAACCCCATCATCCCACGGCTGCTATTCCCCCACAATTTATGCCTCTCTCTCTGTCAGTGTGTCCCCTAGGGCCTGAGACCTCACTGAAGTACAGTTCTACTTTAAGATGAATTTAGAAATAAATTATTTTTTGAAAAGAATGTGGCAAATTCACCATTAATGCAGTTAATCTTTTAAAAAATACTGTCACTTGTCCATGAATAGGGCTTAGAAGTCCTCGCCACAGGACTGGCCTCTGTCCCTGAGCTTTGGCAAGGAACCTCATGCAGCCCTCATCTTTGCTCCCAGGAGATGGGAAGCAGTGAGATAGCTTCTTTTTTGCCTGGAAAAGTTTCTGGAACGAGAAGCCTTGTGTGCCTGCAGAAAGCCTGGAGCATGGCTGCAAACAGCCAAGTAAACCCAGGGGCTTGTGGGGACCCGACGCAGATGGCCCAGCCAGAAGGAGGGGGCTTCCTGGTTGCTGTGAGAATGGACATTGCCCACACCGGCCAGGGTCAGGCTCTGGCTGTGAGCTCCCCGCCGGCCCCAGCCCCGGCCTGAGCTGGGAAGTTCTGGAAGTTCTGCCAAGTGGCCAGCATCACCCAGTCTGCCCCTGCTACCTCATGGGCACCAGTTCTGCAAGATATGTCTGCAAAAAGGGATCGTTCTAGATAGAGGGGTCATGGCAACCAAATGCAAGGGGTGGTCCTAGATCGGCCCCTAGTTTGGATACACCAACTGCAAGGGACATTCCAGAGACAAGTGGGGAACTTTAAAAATTAGATGAAAGGATCAGTTCTTCAGAGGCCAAGTGAGAGATTTGTTAACTGAAACAGTGTAGGATACAAAACCTTGTACAGTACAATATGTGTTGTGTGTGTGTGCGCAGACACACACTCACAGAGAAAAAGTTCTGGAAAGTGTAAGAGTGGTTGGAATACGATGTTTTAATCTTATTGTTGTTTATCTTATTTTATAATTTCCTATAGTATACATATTTTCCTTTTAAGGTATAAAAAGTTTATTTTAAAAATAATAATAAAGAGGAAAATAATAAGAACCTATGTGAGATCCTTGGACCAACTTCCACATCAAGACGGCTCTCCTTGGAAGCAGGTTTCTCTGCTACTCCCTTTGGCCACCTTTCTGGGACTCTAGCCCGGACCCCACCGGCCTTGAGCCACAGGTGGGGGGTGAGATCCCGGTGCCGGGTTCCCCCTAGGGGGCGCCCTTTGCTAGCTCTGCAGGAGGCAGGTGGAGGGCAGAGGTGGAGGGTGTCGGTGAGAGCAAGGACTCCTTTAGGGACTGAACCCCACATTCCTATGTTGAAACCTGCTCCCTCATATGATGATATTAGGACGTGGAGCATTGGGGAGGTGATTTGGTCACGAGGGTGGAGCCCTCACGAATGAGATAAATGCCCTTGCCCCTCTGCCACATGAGGACCAGGAGCCCTGGGCCAAGGCTCCCGCCCAGCTCGGCCACTTGTAGCTCCGCCGGCCCTTTCTCCGCGCTGTGAGGTGGCGGCGTAGGACAGCTGCTCCGCCGGCGTGCTGTCGGAGCTAGGGGACAGACTCCGGTAAGGGGCTCTGCGCAGCGCCCGGCAGTCCAGTCATGCCGCATCCCGCATGCTCACCGCACATGCCCTGGAGAGGGGTGAGGGAGTGGCACATCCCCAGGAAGGCCAGGGCGAAGCCAAGAGGAGGCGGCCAATCGGGAGGGCTGCAGGGTGAGGCCACCCCAGAGACTTCTCATCAGAACCCCTGGCTTCCTGAGAAGGGCACTGGGGCTCACCTGTGGGATTTTCTGCCCCGGTGTCAGCCATGGGCAGGGAAGGGGCGCACCTGGCTGAACACCACCAGTGACGGCGACAGGGACAACAGCAGGGACGTCACAGACGTTAGTCACGCTCCTGAGCAAACGGACCAACTCACCAGCTTCTCCAGCTCAATAATCTTCTTTTCCTGCTGGTGTATCTGCTGATTCTTCATCTCTAATACCTGCTTCAGACTCTTCATGTCTTCTTCCAAGTGCTGATAAGGAGCCAGCGCAATCTACTCGGGGGGCAGAGAGCAACGCGCTGTGGGCCGGCGTTCCCGCCAAAACCCGGTATTAACCGGTGCGTGAGTCCAGCTAAGTCTAGCCTTCTGTGGCAAGCTTCCCAGGGCAACTGCAGCACTGAAGGCAGATGCCCAAAGCCTGCCTTCCATTTCCCACTGGGAACCCTGCTAAAAATCCAGCTCTGTCGGGGAGCGGGAGAGACATGGCTGCTGTTGTCCCCTGGAAAGTCTGATCCTGGAACCAATGGACACTTCCAGAAGGGAACTCATGTGGTAGGAAGAGTAAATCCAACGCTGGCTTTTAACATTGGCTCAAACTACCTGATTCACCAAGCACCTGGGTATCGTATAGTCCCCACCTGTGCCCATGGAGACGCCACCCCCCCACCCCCCTCCCATGCATAGGAAATGAGCAAAGCGGTTTACGAAGCAGAATGAAGACAAAAATGTCTTCATTTTAGAAGAAGACATGTTAGCATAGGGTTGCTGGATGCAACCAACAAAAATATAGGACATGCTGTTAAATTTGAATTTCAGATAACCAACGTTTTAAAAAAGTTTAGCGTAAGTGTTGCATGGGACATAGACTCAAAAACTCATTTATCTGTAATTCAAAAAAAATTTTTAGAAGGTATCTCGTTCTGTTGCTCAGGCTGGAGAATGCAGTGGCTATTCCCATCTCCGTCCCAGAGCACTGCAGCCTAGGATAGGTAGCTGGGGCTCATCTGTCATTCCGATTGAATCAGGTATCCTGTATTTTAGTTGGCAACCCTTCCTTAGAAGGAAGGAGTTTTGCCAGCTTTTCTGGAAAAAATTCCCCTCAACCTACTACTGATGATGGCAGCCTAAACCGGAGTTGGGATGATGGAGGGGTGGTCCCACCCAGGGTGGGCAGTTTCCAGACTGTGCTCCTATCCCAGGAGCCCAGGGACCCCGGCTGGAGACCGCATGGAATTTGGCAAAAATCACATGTAGATGGAGCAGCCCACAGCTGCCGTCTGCCTCAGGGGAGAAGTGCTGACTGGAGTTGTTTAAAACTCCAGGGGAGGTCATGACCAGCTGTCACGTCCACAGCAGGTCTACAGGAAGCCTCGTGTTGGGGTAAGACCCCCGAGGAAGCGACGCAGCCCGCCGGGGTGGGGCCCCTGGGGGATAGGACGCCTGGAGACCAGAGACTACCTCCAGCTGCTCCTCGGTGTTTTTCCTCAAAGCCTCCTCGAAGCGTCGGGCTCTGTCCCGCAGAGACTGGCTCTGGAAGGTCAGCGTGTCCACCTGGTCCTGCAGGTAATGACAGGAGAAGTCCAGCTAGGGCCCCTGCAGACAGACACCACAGCCAGGGGCCACCACCCACCCTGGAGCTCTTCTGAGGCTCTCCCTTGGGGCTGAGGAAAGGTGTCAAGGGGGAGCCCCGCAAGATAGCGGGAGATTCCCCATAACGTCCCCTCGCTCTCTCCTTCCGGCACCTTCCAGAACAGACCACAAAACACTGCCAGAGGAATTTTTATGCCTGTGAATGGAGGCATTTATCATCTGATCCTGCAGATGCCGACAGCCGGCAGAGAAGGGTCTAGTCCAGGAGGCATCTAGCCCCTCACGGTGGGAAGGACCACAGTTAATGTATTTCAAAGAATGGTTCCCACCTACAAAGCTCACGCTGGAAACCTTCAAACCATCCTTGACTTCCTTCTCTGCCTTGGGACCCCTCCCACCGCCGCCGCACACTCTAACTACCAAGTCAGTGATGGTGTCCTGCCCTTCTGGCTCTGCAACGTCCCTGAAGTCCACACGCTCCCTGAGCTCAGACCAGCCCTGCTGGCTCTTTCCCGGCATGGTGACTCTTTCCTGCAGTCAGGCTGTTCTCTCTCTACGGAGCAAGCCTGAGCCCATCCTCCCCCTACCTCACACCGCATTGGCCCCAAGACGCAGTACACGCTGCTTAACTCAGTGTTGAAGCCGTCTGGTCCTCCAGCCTCGGTTTCCGCTGCCTCCCTCTCTCATCTCACATGGCAGCTCTCCTGGTGGCAGCCCCTGCCTGCGGCCAGCTCCCTCTCATGCTCAGCTCCCTCCGGCCCCCACTCGGCCTTCCTGGCCTCAGGGCTGGGCGGCATGTCCCCGATAGGAGCTGCCATGTGAGCTGAGTCCACCCAGACCATGCTCCCTGTTGAGACCTTCTCCCCAGCTAGACTGACACTCCTGGCTCCCGTGTGCGCCAGCAACAGAACAGCCCTCCACCTGCAGGTTGAAGGGATGAAGGTGCGTGTGCGGAGACACTGCACCTTCCCCAGCTCCCAGGGCGGAGGCGACTACGCTGAGCCCTCCCCACCCAACCCCAGCCATGACTCTCGTCACTCCGGGCCAGCCAAGGGTGCTCAGCCATGGCTGGCTGTGGATGCCCAAGACAACTACACTCCTTCATGCCTCACTCGTGCTGAGCAGTCCAGAGATCTCTACCCAACCACACCATCTCTGTAATATTAAAAAGTAGGGACCAGGGTCTCCCATGAACTCTTCATGCAAGAGGAATGGCCTCACCCCACCAAATAGGAGCAGCTGGGTGCTGTGAATTCTGCAATTCTACATAGCAACACCCCAATGCACGTAGCACTGGCTCCAGTCCTTTCTCCCTGTTTTTGCAAACCTCCCTGGGCAAGTGCCTTTTCCTCTTTTTTTCTCCCTCTTGCAGCTACTTCGATCTCATTTTTAAGAAATAAAATCCCCCACGGTGCCATTAAATGCAAATGCTGGTGCATTAGGATGATACAGTTGTCAGTGGGAACTTGCATACACCTGAGCTGGCTCAATGGACATTATGACCCAGAGCAAGCCCGCTTGTCACCTGCTAGACTGTGACTATAAAAATGACTGTCTTCCATGGCTCCGACCCCAAACCTTACCAGTGTTGTTAGAGGAAGCATTTCTTTTAAGCCTCTTCCCTTACAATAAAAAAGAAAAAAAAAACACACAGAAAACTTGTCCTGCAATTACCACCTAGGATAGATACCAAACTGCGACTCTTCTGCTTTATTCACCATTACTCAAAACAGGTCCCCAGGGACAGGATGGAGCTGCTGCAGTCAGAGAGGGCAGACCGTTTTTCAGCTTGGGCTGGCTCTTTTATGTCAAGCTAAGAGACACAAAGACAGAGCTGGTGGCCTGACGCAGCATGGGCCACTCGGGAGTCAACCAATGGCATGATAATAAAAATATAACAATGCTGGCAACCGCTATAAGAGCTACTACTTATTAACACTTGCCACGAGCCACCCCAGTGCTCTACATTTTTCACACATTATTTTCCTTAACCTGCTCGCACCTTGAGAAAGGTACCGTCACCATCCCCATTTTACAGATGAGTAAACTAAGGTTTACAAAGGTTATATAGTCATCCAAGATCTCGAAGCACAGCGGGGATTTAAACACAAACTCAAAAGCTCTGTTTCACCAGCTGCCAGTAGTAGCCCCCTCTGGGGGGGTCTGACCAGTTAACTCCATCTTCCTTGCATCGAATCATCTCCAGCCCCAGTGGGTTCTGCGCATGGAGAATTACAACTAAAACATGCACGATTCATGACCGTTTGATGTCAGTGGCAGAGCGAAGACTCAGACGAACAAGAACAACAAAAAAAGCTCACTTCTTTGGGTTTGGATTGGATGGGGTTTTTGTTATATCACTGCACGGCTGTCACTTTCCTGATTTGCGTTCCTCTGAGGATAGGGCGACTGTTGGTGCAGATGTGTATGCGCACGGAAGGCAGCGTGGAAATTAGCCCCGCAAGGACTGCAGGCCTGCCGATGGGCGGATGGGTGGGCGGTGGGCTTGCAGCAGGCAGTAGCCTGCAACACTGGGGTCTTCACGGTCCTGGATCCTTTCATTGGTGGAGCAGGCTCAGTGTCATATACAGTGCCAGGGGAAAATGAGCCATCAAAAATGCAACACCCCTGCCTATATATTAGCGCTACAGCAATCACCTTGCACAATTTCCAGGTGTGAATATCCCTAATATTTTTAAAAAAACAATCTCGTTACGATTAGAATTGCTACATTTGGATATGGAAGCAGGGTCCCTGACCTCACCCTAGCTTCCCAGGCAGCTCTTCCCAAGGGCTGGGGGCCGTCGTCATTGTCTTTTCACAGAAGCAGCTGGCGGGGGTCCCTGTGAGGCGGGAGGGGGACTCCCATCATCTGCGAGATTCTGCATTCTCCCTGCAGAAGCCAGCAGGAAGCCGGGTGGCTCCTCCAGCCTCTGAGACCAACCTCTTCTCTGGGTGGCAGCGAGAGGCAGAGAGGGTGTTTTTCATCTCACTCACCTCCAGGTCACTGAAGTCCCCGCCCGGCCTGGAATGCTCTCTTCCCCACGTTTCCCTTTCTTAGAACACAGCTCAGTTACTCCTGGGAGATCTCTGGCCACAGCGAGGGCAGAGAAATCCCTCCGAACTTCTGTCGCACTCACTAACTGTATGATCCATTTGGTGCACGTCTGCGTTACCTTCTGCTGTTGTCTGCTGCTATTTGTGTCACAGCCCGCTGCGCAGACGGCAGATTCCTTAAGGGCAGGGAGTATGTCTTATTTACCTCTGGGTTCCGGTGTCTCGTACAGGCTCCAGGACACAGCGGGTGCTGGGGGAATGCGGGTGGGTGGGAATAATGACGGTGCTGTTACCTTGATAGCCGCTAAGAACATTAAGGAAATATTAACCTGCAATGACAGCCGCAGCTTTTCAAAATTTTCTTCCAATTCTTTCTTTTCAAGCTCGTGGGTGGACATCAATTCTGGAGAGGAGACATAAGATGGTTTAAGTTGATCTTCCTTTTGAAAAGGCTAAAACAAGATGCTTTTTGGCAGACTGAGACCAAACGACTGCTCTATAGAGCAGATGCAAGTGTAAAGAGACTCCTCCACTACTCTGAAATTGTACGTGACGGCTAGGTTGCTATTTAGGAGAGAGGAAGGAAGAAGGGAGTAGGGGGGAGAGAGAGAAGGAACGAGGAAAGAAAAGAGGGAGGGAAGCAAATAGAGCACATCTGAACATACACACCACACACACAGACTCACACACACCATAAACACCCTCCCCCCCCACACACACACTCTGACACACACACTTCCACATCCCGCCGTTCCACCATCCTGCCCAAGTCGGATCCTTTGTTCACATGACGCACTGATTCTCTAATTTTCCCTAATGGTAAAACCACAGGGGAATTAATGTCCAATTCTCCTTCTCTTCCCCTCCCTGGGTCACTCTTCCTTCCTGCGGCATGGGCGGAGGAAGGCAGCTTTCCGAGGGGACCAGAGCTGCAAACAGCCGCGTTGCCCGCCCGGGCTTGCGGAAGGCAGACGGGAAGGTAGACAGGAAGGCACACGGGACCAGTGCCGTGTCTACGCGGGACACCACAGAGCCCCGCAACTTGCCCGAGCAAAGACTCAGCACTAAGACACTCAGAGGGAAGGAAGGACTAATTGGACTGGTTCCTCTTGGAGGGTTTGGAACGATTCTGTTCTGTGAAAAGTGTCATCCCAGCAATAATTTGCAAGTTAGGCAGAGAGAGATGTCATGTAAGAGTTATTAAGCAAATGGATTCTATTTTCCTTCAGACGAGAACAGTCGTATTAGCTGGGTGAAGCCCATCTCATTCTGGCTACACCAGCAATTTGTTTTCATGCAGTAACTAGAGGGAGGAAAGGCCTCATTAATCAGCCCGGATCTGATTAGTGCTTAGAACAGGAGCATGTTGGAGACCAACAGTTGCCATTCTGGCTGGCACGAGCTGCAATTAGGAAAAACTTTGCGGTTTCCATCGACCCAAATCTTTTAACTAATGGTGGGCGAGGGTCATGAAGAAATGCAATTGTTATAGCTGAGATTTACATTTGGAAAAAAAAAATGTTTGTGTTGATTTCATTGATGTAAAATCGTGTGGCCTTCTGGTCTACCTGTCTCTGTCTAAAGGATTCGCTTTAATAGTCATCGAGAGCACCATCCTGGCCATAACAACGGACTTTTTATCTACCGCAACATACGCCCACATCGCCTTGACATCGTTTCTAATTCAAAGGCATTGGATGTGGTGTCTAACTGAGACTTCATTAGTCACAAAAATCTACCGGGTCTCTTTATGTGAAAATGCAGAAAAAAAGACGACACCCAGGCTCTCTGCACCATCTCCATTCATATTGCTTTTCCTGAGACAAGTTTCCTGCAGTGCAGTGAGGGGTTTCGGGGTGTTTTCAGAGGACCCCAACTCCTGAGGGGGAAAGAAAAGGCAGGATCTATTCTTAAGATGATATAAACCATTGCTGATATCTGTGTCCTCATAAGGTATTTCTTTATTTCGAGTTCATGACACTCTGCCCCGTGCTTAATACTGTGCTCCGAGACAATGGTTCTCAGATGTGGCTGGGTATTAGAATCACCTGGGGAGTTTTACAACATCCTGCTGCCTGGGCTGCACCCCAGAGTGGTCAAGTGGGAAGCTCTGAGGTGGGATCCGCACATCAGTATGTATGTTTGAACTCCCCACGTGGTTCCCATGTGCAGCCCAGTGTGGGGACCTGCACTCTGAGTGTGAAACACGCTACCAGGACACGGGCAATGCGCTTAAATAGCCCTCAGGAAACCATGGCCCCTGCTCCAGCTCTGCGCCGTCCCTTACTGATAGTTTGCGTGAAGGGGACGCTGACGTGAGCATCGATGACTGCATGCTGGGTTTTGTCGCTTGCACAGAACATTTTTACAATCATAAAACACTCTGATGTTAATTCTCAAATTTTAGAAATCTATTAATCTAGGGCCAAATGTCATTTTAAAAAATATATACTTCAAAAACCAGCTGACTAGGGGGAAAAGTAAAGGAAGCAGAAATTAAAAAAGAAATGGCATATATTAATTTGATTTATTTATTTATTTTTTATTTGAGACAGAGTCTCACTCTGTTGCCCAGGCTAGAGTGAGTGCTGTGGCATCAGCCTAGCTCACAGCAACCTCAATCTCCTGGCTCAAGCGATCCTCCTGCCTCAGCCTCCCGAGTAGCTGGGACTACAGGCATGCGCCACCATGCCCGGCTAATTTTTTTCTATATATATTAGTTGGCCAATTAATTTCTTTCTATTTATAGTAGAGACGGGGTCTGGCTCTTGCTCAGGCTGGTTTCGAACTCCTGAGCTCAAACGATCCACCCACCTCGGCCTCCCAGAGAGCTAGGATTACAGGCATGAGCCACCGCACTCGGCCGCATATATTAATTTTAATGCATGTGCAAGTACAAAAAGCTGCTGCTGCTTTCACAAAGGAAACTCTTACTAAACCTTAGTGACATTGCTGTTATGACTCACATAACACTGAAAATTCAAAGTTACAAAAATGTAAAAAGAGAGCTCTGGAGACTCAACACACGTCCACGGGGAACGTGGCCCGTGAGGGTGAGCTCTGGAGACCCAGACCCAGTGGTGCTGCCGTGGGCCCGAGAACCACACAGACACGGGGCAAGTGCACCCACACTGGGGCTTCTGTGTGGTTTTATAAGGCTACAAAACACAGAGCCCAAGATTGCCATGCTTGCTTCAGAACAGTGGTCCTGGAGCGTGGCTACACGTTAGAATCACCTACGGAGTCTTTACAAGTCCTGACGCCCAGGCTGCACCCTGACCAGCCAATGACATCAGCATCCCTGGGGTAGGAAGGAGGCTGGCGCTGGCCTTTTGTTACAGCTCCCCAGGGGTCCAGGGGATTCCAACACTCAGCAAAGGCTGGGAATAGCTGCTTTGGAGAAAAGAAGTCATTACCTGGATCCTTGATTTCTATCTCTTCTTTTCATAGGAACCAACACAAAAAACACACCGGGAAGGAAAGATAGCAGAGGAGAGGCAAGGGAGGAAGGGAGGGCTTCTTGCTTCTGCAGCAGGGAAGGCTCGGCTCGCACGACCCTCCCCTGCCCGCCACGCAGGAGGCTGGGAGGTACCTTGGACCTTGTGGTCGTGGTCATCCTGCAGGATCGCGATGGCGACTGTGTGGCTGTTTTCCATGTCTAGGAGAGCAGCCTCATGGCTGGCTGTGATGTCTTCCACCTGCGGAGGAGTCACGGTTACCGGCTATACAGAGCTGGGAACATGCTCCCTTGCAGAACACAGGTGGAATTCCGTAAGTCAAAAAGTCAGTGGCCCATAACATCCAGGACAAGTCACTTTCCTGAGGCCGTAGCTGCCCTCGGCCTTGTGCCAAAGCTGGGGAGAGTCAGAACCTGGCGGTGATGTGGCAGTCCCCAGAGTCACGGGGAAGTCACTGCCACACCTGGGTCTTTGTGGGAGGATGGCAGCTCCAAGCCAGGGACCACTGCCTGAGCCACTTCTTTAGAGTCCTGGGCGTGGGTGGCTCAGGAACATCCCCTCCCACTCCCGTTCCTTCTCCTTGAGCCACTCACTTACAACGTAATGATGGAGAACGAAAAGAAAAGGGTCCTCCCTGCAAGGTGGTCTCGGCTCTGTTTCCGGTGGCAGGTGGGAGCGACAGTACACGGTAAACAAAGGGAACTAGCATTTATTAAGTTACCTGCTACAGCTCACGCCACTAAACACTCACAGCCACCTTATGAGGTAGATATTTTTAGGCCCATTTTACAGATGAGGAGAGCGAGGCTTAGAGAGATTTGAAATGTTTTGCCCAAGAGTAGTAAATGGTAGAGTTAGCAGCGGGGCCCAACTCTGTCTGACACCAAAGGTGAAGCTCTTTCAAACACACAATTGTGGCCTCCCCGAAGCAAAGCCAGCAACTAACACCTTAGGATTCTGTCACCAATACCAGGCCAGGCTGGCACACCTGTGTGGAGTGTCCTAAACACCAACTTGCCCACCAGATTACAATCTGACCTCCTGACACGGTGCTTGCTCCCGTGAAGGGCTGCTGTTCCCAGCTGAGGTGTGCTTGTGGGAGTCTGACCACAAGCAGTGCGGCCGGTCCAGGATTTAGCATGTTCTCGCTTCCTGGCCCCTACCTCCACCCCTCACCTCCTCACTCGCCTGCCGACCAGGTTTACTGTTACCGTTCTTGTGGCCACTCTTCTGTTAAACTTCCAGTGTGTGACTTATGGGAGTAATTCCACAAACGACCTCTCCCTGTCATCACAAACCTCTCCTGGACACGCAACAAGGGTGTTTATCCAAATTCTCTTTCAGCGACCCGCTGCGGGAATTGCCACTGTGCACGTGACACAGCACGGACCGCCCCCCACGTACCTGCTCCCGACACCGAAGTTTCACAGTACAAAACGTACCCTGCCTGTCTGCAATCATCTGGCTTACATTTTTTTTTTTCCAATTCTATTTCACTTGGTCTTACGACATGCTGGCTATGGACCGCTACATTTATTTCACAACCTACTAATGTGTCAAAGCTTGGCATTTGGAAAACACTGAATCAGGAAACGTATCCCAGGTCCTGAAGCTCCCTGAGGCCCAGTAAAGAAGACATTGCTTCCAGCTGGTGATATGCAGCCTCTTGCGGGGGTTTCCTATTCTCTGGGCATAACTCGAAGGCTGACCTTCCATCTGAAAGGAGGAAGGGCTCTGAACGAGACAGCAAGCCTGCTCCTGAAGTCCTCGCATGGGGTATTTTTATTTAAAAAGGGGTAGATTCCCATTTTGGATACTATCATTGCATGGGAAATCTTTCCTGACTCCTCTCTCCTGTGGCAAAAGAGAACTTCATCCCCTGGAACAGAGACATCACTGGGCAAAACCCACAGCAGTGGGAGGGCCACACCTCAGTTTGGACACGGACGTGGTATACAGCGATTCACTCCTATTTACTGGCCATTCTTGATATTGGGGATCAGGGCTATTATTCCACTCAGCAGAAAGGCTGGTTACAACAGTATTTAATAATCCAATTCCTGTTTATACAAGGTTTTTATGACATCTTTGTCCAAAGCCTTTCAGCCTGTTGGAAAAATAAATCACGGGTTAAGGGGGAAATATGGAAAAAAAGGAAATATGTTTTCTTTCTGCTCCATTACAGACGTCAGTTAGCCCCCAGCGCACTGTCTGCAGAGACCAACGCCCACGCGCCGTTTGGAGGTACGTTACACAGCTCAGCAGAACAAGAAATTGTTCACTGGTCCTTGGCATGATTCTAATTTCTGGGGTTGATACACAAATGGCCATGGGTGGTTTCAGAAAAGGGAGGCAGATAGAGGGACTAAGGTCCAGCAGAGTCCCTCGAGTCCCTGGGGCTGGGTGTGCCCTGACCCCCAATGCCACGTTGTGTTTGTGGCCTAAGTGTGAGCCCTTCTGGTCTGCTGGAAGGAGAGTCTATGATTCCGTGGTGATGGGATACCACACCCAACGTATTAAGGGTGATGTAAGGGCCTGATGAGTCCATTACAGCCTCTCAGGGTGCTTTTTATAAATGAAATACTGATCTCCTAACTCTAAAAGTCCACATGGAATTAGAGAAATGCCCAGTGTGTTTGGAAAGAAATCAGTGAGAACCCATGAGCCAAATTCCAGACACAATAATCCTCGCTCTTCAGTAATTTAGGTTTCATGCAACTTCATGGTGTTTAAAGAATGTTCCCTCAGTGAGGAGGGGGCTGCCTGCTATTGCCATCCTCTTTCATGTCATAGTATTAATCCCTTTGACCTCTTCCCCTGGGGTTCCTGGTTTCTTTCTAGAGCACAGGTTCACACTGGTGGAGCAGCCAGCAAGAATTCCCAGGCTGGGAAGACCCTGAAATCTGAAGGCAATTGAGGGGATTTGAACAAGGGAAACACAGATCGTTGTGTGCATTGTAGATTGGCAGAACAGGGACGAAAGGTGACACTCCGTGATCAGTCTGTGGCAAACTTACTGTGGAGGAAGCATCCTTCTCTTCCTTTCAGAACCCTGGGTGGGGGCCCCTTAGGCCACCGTGGGCCCCCCCTCCTGCCTCCTCCACAAGACAGAGTTCTGAGCCGGGCCATGGAGCGGCCTGTCACTATGCCCATCCAATAGTCCTAGCTGCCCGGAAAAGCAACTGTCCCTGTGCTATGCCTCCGTTCCTGCAGTCACTTGCTATCCCGCTGGGCTGAGTGACAGCAGAGCGCAGGGTGGGCAGGCCGCCCTCTCAGATGCTCAGACGGGTAAGCACAGCGCTGCGGGGATTACTGCATTTAGCATTTGCAAAATGTAATTATCTTGGGCTTTGGCAATTCACTTAGAGAAGACTTACATTTCCAATGAAGAAGCATGTGCTTTATGTTGCCTCGGCCGTAATCATGAAACCCAAACCAGATTAAACTCCCATTTGCCCCCATCCCAGACTCCTATCCACATGGGATCAGACAGAGGGAGCCCGTCATGCTCGCCCTCCCCAGCACTCTCTTAATGACTTTCTTTTTCATATAAAGAGGGGACCCCCCCTCCCTTCACCTGGTCCCTGCTGTAGCACCCTGGACGCCGGCTCCACGCGGGTGGTTAGCCATGCGGAGCTGCCAGTCCCACCCCAGCCCCTTCTGGGGTCTGTGTGCCTTTTGCCCCTCTGCAGCCCGCCATGTGGGCAGAGGTTGGCTGAGTCCCCATCTCCCCTGCACCACCTCCTCCCTGCTTATGGAACCTAGGACGTGATGGGTGGGGGCCCTGGTGCTGGGAAACCGAGGCCCCCAGGATCTCCTTCTGTTTGATTAGGGAGAGTGCGGTTTCTGCTGCTCGGCGGCTGTGAGCCCACGCGCAGCAGGGCCGAGGAGACGTAATGCGAGAGGACGGACAAAGTGGTTTCTGTGCATTAGGATTAATTGCAGGATGCTCTTCCAGTCATTTAGTCTAAAAGGATGATTTCTCTTGGAAGGGTTGAAAACATGTCCTGGATATGAGGCAAAGCGAATTTAAACTCCAGAGGATGAGCTCCACGGCTCCGTATGCAGGAGCAATCTCTGCTTAAACTTTACGGAGCAGAATCCGTAACGCGCCCGGGAACAAGCCGTCCCTGAAGTGAGCGTCTCTGGGGCAAGTTGCAGAGCGAGACAAGCTGCCAAAGGGTCCTGGAGGGATGGTTCAAAGGTCACAAGTCTGATCCTTGAGCACCAGGCTCTGCAGCTGCCTGTGTGTGGGGGACAGCCAAGGGCGGCCCAGAAAGGGAAACTGGAAACTGGCTGAGAAGGAGTTAGGTTCAGGGCGGAAAGGAGGATGCATGTGTGTTTCTAGGGAGAAAGGGAGGCTGTGGCAGTTTGGTTTCTGTTAGTGTGTAGCTTGCAGTAGAATGAGAGCTGATTTTCAGTAAACACCTTTATAATCGTACTTTTAAAATAAGGGTTATACCATATTTTTAAATTCACTTAAGAAAGCCAAGCTGGAAGGCCGCCCCCGCCCACTCTACTCCACCCCCACCCCCAGGCCCTAACTCGAGCCTGCAGGACTGAAGAACAAGCTCCTGTACCTCCTGTGACTCCCTGGTCCAGGGCCCAGCTGCACACGTAAAGCACTCACGTGCTGTCTCGGCGGTAACACCTTCCCCATCCCCACCGCTACCACCCAACTCTCAGCTCCTAAACACACCGTCTGCATCTCCCACGCGCCTCGCAGTTCCGTGGGCACTTGTCTCGAAGCTTCCCCGGTGGGATAAGCAAGCCCACGTTTTACAACTCTTGACGTCTCTTGCAGTATCCCGTCACGGTGCCTTGCGTACAGTGGGCACCCAATAAATATTCTTTTTGTGCGGGCGGAGGAGTAAATAAATCAATGACTTCAGCTATCATTGGGGATGGGGAAGAACAGAGCTCAGGGCCTTCATGAGACTGAGCACTTTTGAAATACAGCCAGACAGCTTACGGAACTCATTCTCACATGGAAAATCAGGGGCTTTCTCCCTTCCTCGCTCCCAATGTGAAATCTCTAAAAGGCTGCTGCATCCCAGCTTAAAGGACAGGTGGGGACACATCTCCTGGCACATACAGATGAAGCCTGAGTGAGCAGTCCTGGCCCGGGCCACGCTCCGCTGGGAGGCGTGCTCCTCCTTGCAGTCATCCGTGCCCGGCCCATCCCCGGCTCAGCGCCTCCTGCCCACAGACCCCCTCCTGCCCTTCCCCACCTCCGGGCA